ACACTAAAAGCTTCAGATGATTTTCCAACAGATGGATATTTACTCGATTTATCGACATCTTCAAGCAATGCTCCTGAGTTTTTATTCGAATTCATAACTTTAAGAGACTTATTACTTGATGCAAATTTCAGAGGAGGAGGTATACAAGTGATAAATTCACTAAGAACAAGTATTGACAATTGTTACATTACACATTTTACAACAAATGGTATTATAGCCAAAGGTGGACATGAAACATACATAAGAAATTCATTTCTTGGACAACATATTACTGCTGGTGGTGATAAAGCAGAGAGGAATTTCTCCGGTACCGCGATAAATTTAATGGGAAATGACAATTCTGTTACTGATGTAGTGATATTCTCCGCTGAAATTGGTATAATTGTATCAGGTCAAGCAAATTTGTTATCAGGTATACATTGTTACAATAAGGCTACTGGATTTGGTGGGACTGGAATTTACCTAAAACTCCCTGGATTAACACAAACAAGAATTGTTGATTCTTATTTGGATTATACTGGAATTGTGGCAGAGGATCCTGTTCAACTCACAATTTCAAATACATTTTTTCTTGGAGATGCATTTGTTAAGTTGAAGTCAATAAATGGTGTTGTGAATGGAGTTAACATTGTGGATAATATGTTTTCTGGATCAAATAAAGGGATTGATATTATTCAATTGGATCAAAATAATGGACCATTTAAGACAATTGAACAAGTTGTGGTGGATAGAAATAATGTTAAGGGGATGAATCTTAAGGGTACTATTGGAAGTGGAGTTGTTGAAGGAAATGGTACTTCATGGACTTTGGATTTTAATCCAATTCTTATATTTCCTAACCTTATTAAACATGTTCAATACACATTTTTCCCTAGTGGGAACATGTTCGTTAATCATGCTTTGAGAAATGTGTCGAATAATAAGGTTCTGGTTGAATCAAACGTGCAAGTTCCAGCAAGGGTTTTTGTGTCGGTGGATCAAGGGAAATGAGCTAACATGTATAGGCTCAAGAAATTAATAAGCATAGGGATGTTATTTTATTGGTTTGATCTAGCTAGTTATGTTACAAAGATGATTAGATCTCTTTGAGTTTGAAACATTCTTGAAAAAGAAATGTTTATGTTAAGAAAAATTCTAAAGTATAATCCAGCAATACAAGGAATGCTTTTTGATGACAATTTTTTTTCTATCCTACTAAAGTTCAAAAAGTTAGGGATGAACAAAATCGAACCAAACTGCAAATTGTGTCAAATCGGAATAAAAATTGGTTGATGGTTTGGTTTGATTTTTGAAAAAAAAAATCCGACTATACTTAGGTTTCTTTTTAGGGAAAAGGGTCTGAAAAATACTCCAACTTTGGCCGAAATTGCTGTTACGATACCAAACTTTATGGATGACCTTTTACCCCTCTGCACTATTTAATAGTGTATTTAATTTTAAAGGTATATATGTGCCCACGTGGACACATTAATATTTATAATGATGCAATATTTATGATGCCCACGTGGACACATATATACCTTTTAAATACACTATTAAATAGTGCAGGGTAAAAAGTCATTTCCAAAGTTCGGTATCGTAACAATAATTTCGGTCAAAGTTCGATATATTTCAGACCTTTTTCCCTTCTTTTTATAAATAAAATAAAATAAAATATTCTGACTATACTTAGGTTAATTTGATTTTAACTAAAAGAAAGTCGATCCGAGACTAAACCAACCTAACATTATATATATCATTATCTTTTTTACTTTGATTTTTATACTTTACAAGTCCCTCAAGAATAATATACGTCTAGATCTAGAAGTTAACTGTAGGTTGAATAAGTATGTGGTCTCATTCAAATTTCCAAATTATAATATAATTATATGCCTAACTTTGAGGATTTGTCCATTTGTTGAAATATGTACTTGTGAGTTTTTCGTAGTTTTTTATCCAAATTTCGTAGTGATTTGACTTGAAAGTTTTTCATAGTTTTAAAGCAATACTTAACTTCCTCTTCCAAATGGTTAAAAAGACATTCAAGGCGATTTGGTGTGAGGTATAAGAGAAAATAGTCATAAGATAAAACTTTAATGTCTCAGGGGTAAAGAAAGGAATATCATCATAGAAATATTAGAAACATGTTTTTTGAAATATTTATAAAAGGTTGTTCGGTACACAAAACAAAACATGTCATGTTAATAGGATTCGGAAAAGACCGCACTCAAGAGGTGATATGTAGACAATCTATGTACCAAAATGCAAATGATTAGTGACTACTTTTATGTGTTCGGTCGAATCATTGACCAATAAGTCACAAAGAAACAATTTTATTGTTGTTCCAAGGCTCTGCTTCAGTTTCAATATATAGTAAAATCTAAGAACCATGTCTTTTTTACAATTTACTCAAAGGTGATATTCTTCTAAAAGTTTGAAATGATGAGGAGTATTTAACCACTAGAACAACTTTTAGGTGAATGTAGTTGGCTATGAAATCACCATATATCCATGTTGTTGTAGTGGTTGGTGAGGGTAACCAACAAATGGAAGAAATTTAATTATAAAATTGGGCTTTCAAAGGTTAAGGAAAAAAATAGATCAAATTTTCTACATAACTTTCATTTAATTTTTTTCAATTACATGTCTTTTCAATTATCACTTTCTTAATGGTTCAACAAATAAAATAAAATAAAGTGAAAGTAGCTAGGTTGCTTAGATAAGGGGGAAATAACAACCTTGCCAATCATATTTATATTCACCTAATATAGGGACTGTATTCCTTCAAAATTGTGGAAATTAATTGTGCAAAATATGATACGTGGACGTTGAAGGAAAAATAAAACTCAAACTTTAAAGGTACGTACTTTTAATAACCAAAGGAATATATTTCTTTTTTGTTCCAAAGTATGTTTACATATATAAACTAACTATATATTATAACCTTTTTGATTTATTATAGTACTTATGAGAAAAGATGGAAGATAGTCAAAAAGTAGTAGATTCCGTTCATGAGATCGACATTGAAGGTGTCTTTTTGCAAGAAAGATATTAAAGATCATATACGTGTGTGTCTATATTTCAAGAAGTATAAACAGATGCATGAGTAAAAAATACTGAATTTTTGGTGAATTTTTAGTAATTCGCGAAGTGTATATTTCAAGAAGTATAAACGTATAGATGCATGAGTAGAAAATATTGATTTTTTGGTGAATTCTTAGTAATTCACGAAAATTTTAATCCGTCGACCACATAACAGAGTCTCTTCATCATTATTTGTATGTCACTTATTGAATGGAGTGTTGAGCGGGGGTTCGGGGTGGCAAATTGGAGATTGTCAAAGGTGAGGTTAGGAGCGTTGAGTAGGTGGGGGAGAAGATCAACGATGAAGCCAGTATCATCACTAAGAGGGTTCAAATTTTGAAAAAATAGATACACAAACTAGCTGAAGGAGTTCGACATCTATTATATATACATGAAAACTTGTTTTAGCCATGTACATGTAGAATAATTTTCCAATTGAGGGGAGATAATAAAACTTAAAATATCATCCATGAAACTTATTTTTCTTATAACGGATGCAGAGTTAAGTGGGCCAAAAAATAAAATTCGAATTAACTAGCCCAAAAAATAAAGTTAACTGGGCCAAAATATAAAATTCAAAGAAACTAAGCCCAAAAAAGAATTCCGTTGCCGGGACTTGAACCCGGGTCTCTCGGGTGAGAGCCGAGTATCCTAACCAACTAGACTACAACGGATTGTTGATACATAATTCATAGAAATAAGTATAACTATTTTTTAACATTTATGTATCTGTTCTAATACTCTATGTCATATAATTTTAATTAAATTAGTATATTTATGTTCGTTAATGATGATGGAGATGATTTATCATGATTCAAATTTGAGGCATCGATTAAGAAAGTATTTTGATTACATTACTCAAGTAAGAAGGAATTCTACTTTGCCAATCCATCCCAATTCCCACAAGGAGAAGTCAAAACATATATAAATGCTTCATCTAATCCAACCAATTACTTTGCAATATAACAGTTGTATTCTCTTTCCAATGCTAATAAATGCTCCAACTATTTTCAAGTCAGTATACAACATTTATTACGGGATGATATGCAATTATGTATTTCTTTCGTGTACTTTTATCTATCTACTTATATTTTTAAAAAATATTTATTTATTATTTTTTAATACATTAAGAGAGTTTTTTAAATTTTTTTTTTATCTTTAATATTAATTATATATATTTCCACTTTTTGTCATAGCAAGATTTTTTTTTCTTACTTATTTTTAATATTAATTATTTTATATATTTCACTTTTACATTGTCATTTTTAATACATTAATATACATTTTTTTTTCATGTTTACATTTAATATTAATTACTTTTTCTAAATTATATCTTAAAATTTAAAATTATATATCAATTATTATGAATATTATGTTAAAATATAATAATATGTTATTTATTCATTTATTATAAATTACTACCAATTACATTTTAAATCATCTGCATATGTATATATGTATGTTAAACTGTTCATATAATTTAAGAGGCGGAGCTAGTATCTAACTTTGATAATACAAAATATAAAATTTATAAATTTAGAATTTTACTTTTATTGAATAAATAACATTTAAAATTTATCATCAAAGAATGTGGTGTAGTAAATAAGACTGCTCCTTTTTTAATTAACAATCTTGAATTTGAGCCTTGAATATGAAAAAATCTTTGATAAAGATCAATACCCCCAAATGAAATGCATAGATTAGTCTAGGAGCAATTCTCCTTGAATGGCACCCGATAGCCAATATAACATGAATTTGAATTAGTCGAACTACAATTAAGATATGAATACGAAATGGAAAAAATAAAAAGAAACCACTTATAGTCCTACTTACAAATAACGAGGCATGTACACTTGCAAAATCCCATAAATGTCACTCTCTATTTCTTCTTGAATTTGAATTCTCCTTCTATTCTACATTTAATTCTTTTCAAGGAAATGATGAAGCCATTTTCTTGTTTAGCATTCTTCATTTTTCTACTTAATTATTTGGTTGTAAAAGAGGCAAATGGTTCTCTTAGAGAGTTAAAGCTTTATGAATTCCAAAAAGGACTTGAAGACAAACATTTCCATTATTCTTCCTCTTTCATCTATTCATCACCACCTTCAACTTCTCCACAACCTTCTATTCCCACCTCCAATGCCAAAAAGGTACTCAAAATAATATTGCTCAGTTTGTTTGACTATCTGAACTTTCACTTTATTGACACGTCTTATTTAATAGAATTTTATAAAATCTTTCCTTGACAACTTTTTTTTTTTGTTGGTTTTAGAGTGAAGGAGGGGTTATATATCCAATAGGGTATGGTGCAGATCCAAGAGGGACAAGTGATAGTAGTGAAGCTATAAAAGAGGCTATTGATGATGCATTGAAATTGCAAAATAATGGACTTACATTGCTGCCTGGTATTAGTGATCTTGGTGGTCTCATTATTGATTTTCAAGGTGGAAATTATAAAATCAACAATCCTATTGTATTTCCTCCTGGCATTGGCAATATTATGGTATGTCATATACATCCTCCCTCTCTAATTTTGATTATTTGTTTAAGTTATGTACACTGACAGTAATATACGTAATTATTATGCAATACGGTTCCATGTAAAACAATCACAAGGAATAGAACAAAAAAGAAAATGTGAACGTGAATAAATTTTTTTGGACTTAGAAGTGAGTCCATTTTAGGATTCAATATTAGTTCATAACTTCACAGTAACACGTTATTTGAGCAAATAACACATTATAGGTAATTCGAAAACTCATTAATGGCTAACTATACATAAATTATGAGATGAGAAACTAATTATTTCCTTAGTTTTAGTTTGTTTGTCTCTTTTTAATTCAAAACTAATTTAAAAATATTGTTAGCTTAATTTGAATATGTTAATGGCAACACTAGTGGTAGCAATCGATTACAAGATATTGATTTGATTGGGCAGTGTTCAAACTGAAAATGCAATTAAATTGTCTATAGAGATGTGTCCTACTTTATTGGAAAATGCATCTTATTTTCAACTTTTACCTATTGATATGACAAGTGCCTACCTATGTGGCAATCTAGGGAGTTAAAAAAACGAAAGATAAAAGATTTTCATTATCAATTATTGATACGTGAGATGAGAATAATAATTTTTTAATGAAATTTTAGATTAATTTTATTTGAGATATTAATTTGATCTGAGAATTATTTTATTCCATCATTCGCACTAAAATGGTGAGATCTATCCCATACCGTGTACCATGAGGTGTTATTGTACTACTACATAAAATGTTTTAATTCAAATATTAAAGTTAAAAAAGTGATTTTTTGAAATAAAAACTATTAATTGAGCGATCATTTGAGAAAGTAACCTCCTTTACTGTATCTGCTAGTTAAGCTAAAATGCTCCAGAGTTTTGAAATATATGTTTTATAGTGAGAGATAATATCTTTTCTTAAAAGAGGCAAAAGGCGAAAGAATAAAGGAGGATTTTCCCTATTGTTATTTGTTAGCCCAACGCATAATTTTCTTCTTCTTTTTTCTTCTTTTGATCTGGTCCCCCTTGCATCTAATTATTCTTTGAACTTTTTAATTTAAAAAATGAGTTGTTTATCAGATTGTTAGTATTTATAGGTTGTGTAATTTTTGTATTAGTATACTCTATACCCATACTTTAGTGATTTTTGCGTCAGAAGTTATGGTTAATCGACTCTTTATAATAATGATAATCATATATATAAGTGACTATACGTAAAATTTACCCATTTTATTATGTATAATTTACATAAAACCTACAGTGTTAAGAATTAATTACATTATTTTCCTATTCTTTTTCAAATTAAAAAAATTTCTTAAAATTTATGGATTTCGAATACATCACTAGACTTTGGAATACATCACTGGACATCCGAATACATAGGTGAGGAATGTATCAGAGAGGGGATAGGACATCTGGATACATCACTGGACTTCCGAATACATCAGTAGACATTCGGATAAATAGGTGAGGGATGTATCAGAGAGGGAATGGATGTATCCGAGATGGGATAAGGGATGTATCAACGAGAGGAAAGTGATGTATCTGAGAAAAGATTTTTGAATTTTTTTAAAATGGTAGGAAATTTTAGAGATAATACTAAAAGAAGATGTGTATTTAGATAATTTTTCCTTTTGTTATTGGGTTTCTCTTTTTTTTTCCCCGCAAATGTTGGGTCAGTAAAGGACTACCTTAGTTACGAAACCCATTGGGTTAGTAGTAAATTTCATTCTCAAGCCCAAAATGACAGCCCATATATTTTAGGATCCATTGTTTTCCTCTTCTGTTTTCTGTTGCAACCTGAAAATCATATGAAGTTGTGTCCTTTTACCGTTTTCTTGGCCCTTATATCTGTCCAGAGGTGTCAAATGGGAGGATTGTGTTAAATTTAGGTGGGCGAAGTTAATTAATTAAAAAAATTACCTAATAAGACATACATTCATATCATATTTACTAATTCTCTCTATAGTTTGAAATAATTACAGACTAATTAATAATTTCATAATAGATTTCGAGTCAGATTAATCTAGACATATGTATTTTGTTACTAGATACACTAAAATAGAGATGGAGACGAGCGGATACCAGATACACAGAGAGAGGTCAGCGAGAGAAGAGAATGGCAAGTGAGATTGGAGAGAGGCGAGTGAGAGAGTCAGATACATGCGAATCCATTTGGATATAATGTATCTAGAACAAATTACACTTAATTTTGACCCCATATATATCTGAGATACATGTATCTGGACACGCCAATTACATGTTTTCGAAGTCCAAAATCGGGCGAGATTTGTAATGTTGCAAATTAGTGTGAATCTAAGTAATTTTTCTCTTACACTAGTAGAATTTCTGTAAATTACCCTGCGATCTATTGATTGGACGAATCGAGTTTGATCTTGGTGAATTGCCTTAATATTTTCAGGTAAAAGGGGGAACACTAAGGGCATCTGATACATTTCCGGGTGATAGACATCTAATTGAACTATGGTCACAAGACTCTCCCAAGCTCATCAAAGACAACAACATTTCCCACCACCATAGTAACATTTTCGATAGACGTGACCAAAACATCGCGATTCGTTATGAGGGCATTACGTTCCATGACATCCTCTTCGACTCAGGCTATCGAGGAGGAGGTCTATATGTAGTTGACTCAGCTAGAATTCGCGTAACAAGTTGCTTTTTCGTTCACTTTAACACGGAAGGAGTCCTTGTCCTGAGGGGCCATGAGACCTTTATATCGAACACGTTCATGGGCCAACATCCAACCGTTGGTGGAGACAAAGGTGAGAGAGATTTCTCAGGTATAGCAATTGATCTTGCTAGCAATGACAATGCAATTACTGATGTTACAATTTTTTCATCAGCAATTGGAATTGTACTTAGAGGTGAGGCTAATATTGTCACAGGGGTACATTGTTACAACAAGGCAACATATTTTGGTGGAGTTGGTATTTTAGTTAAAGCATCACAAAATAGAATAGACAATTGTTACCTCGACTATAACTCTATAGTCATTGAGGACCCTTTCTTAGTTCACATCTCAAATGGATATTTTCTTGGAGAGGGAAATGTTGTTTTGAAAGCGATTAACGGTCGAATTTTCGGACTAAATGTGATTAACAACATGTTTAGTGGTAACCCCACAAAAATGACACCAATTTTGAGTTTGGATGGAGAGTTTAATGATATTGATCAAGTCGTTATTGATCAAAATAATGTGAATGGCATGAGTTTGAAGTCTACTAGTGGAAAATTAAGTGTTGCTGGAAATGGGACAAAGTGGATAGCTGATTTTTCATCAATTCTTGTGTTTCCTAATAAGATAAATCATGTACAATATTCATTTTATTGTAGAGGAGGGGTTGTTGGATTTCCAGTACATGCTATAACAAATGTATCAAGTAATGTTGTGGTTATTGAGAGTGAAAAAATAGTTGATGGTGTGGTGTCAGTTTTTGTTGATCAACATAATATTGTGGGTGAAAAGAATTTTTTCATGTGAAAAAACAAGCTATTGGAGATGATGTTATTTAAATACTTGTTATCTCTTTTTTCTCCTCCTTCCTCGATGTTTGGTATTTGTATTGAGATTAGACTAATTTAAATTCGCACTAGGAAGTTGCACGTTAATGATAAAGCATTTCATATCTCCTTTAATTTTACTCCTCGCAACTTGATGTTTGATATTTGTATTGAGATCAGACTAATTTGAATTCACACAAGGAAGTCGCATGTTAATGGTAAAGCATTTTATAATAAAAATACTAATTAAATATTTGAACTCGAGATAACCAAGAATAGAAATACTACTTGTTATCTTATGGTTTCTTTACTTAATGAATGTCTTTTGATAGAAAAATTTATCTTAGGATTAAATTGTAAGTACAATGATAAAGATTTGTCATGTATAAAATATAATAAAAGAAATAGGCTAACTGAATATATATATATATATATATATATATATATTCATAATGTTTAGGAAGTAATTTAAAAACATCCAAACACTAGTGGATATTATAATGGGCCAATGCTTTTTCCTTTTGTTAAAATTAAAGCAAAAGGAGTTAATGATCACATACCTTGTCCCACTCCCCTTCATCTTTTTTCTTCTTCTGCTTAATTAGGCAAAGAAAACTCACAAAAAATCTAAAAGACTACAGAAAAAAAAAGGAATTATACTCAAATAATTGGTCAGATTCATTATTTACTATTTTAAGCTGTTATTTATAAAATTTACATTAATTATACATGATTATACATATATTATACATTCACCTGTTATTTTTAGTTTAAATGATTGGGTGAGTGTACGTTATTTAGGTTAATTCTTCGAGAAACAAGTGTTACAATTCCACCAAATGCCCTCCATTGTTTTTTTTTGGATGGTGGGTTACCTGGTATCAGATATATGTTTAGTGTTTCTAACTAATTCGACTTTGTATGTTCCTTTTCTATCCGAATTTTTTCCATTTCGAAGGCTCGAACCTAGTATTAAATGATCAAGGGTGAGGAATCATATCCGACACATCAAAATCTATGGTAGTTCCCTTGTTCTGCCTTTCATTTCCCAGTATTCACGTCCACTCTCATCCAAAAGTTTTTAAAAGAAAAACAGTTGATTAGAAATCAAGTTAATTTTCTTGAGAGTAATGAATATTATTAGGAATATTTAAAAGACTAAGCCAGTCATAGAGTCACATAATGTGGTTTGAGCTTAATTTGATCCCACATTCCAAAAGTATCATAAAGCATTTAATAATTTCGACCCTTCAGGTTTCCTAAAAGTAAAAAATTAATACCATAATAATACGTAAATGTGTCTATTAACTTGACATCAATTGATATTTATGTCTTTCAATTTTGAAGGTGTATAAGTAGACACTTAAATTTGTATAAAATTGAACAATAGACACACATGTCCAACGTTGCATAATACACGTAGAACGCCGTGTAGGACATGTATGTCTATTTGTTCAATTATATACTAGTTTAAGTGTCTATCTACTTGTGAACACACAAAATTGAAAAATATAAATATCAATTGAGATCAAGTTAAAAAGAGCAATTTTTGTGTATGATGCCTAAATTAATTAGGTCAACTATATGGTTCAGTGACATCTTTGTGAATATTGACACTGCCTAATACTTGATGGTTTTTTTTATTTTTTTTTAAAAAGCATCCTTAAACCCTATTGTCGTTTTCGACGTATTTCTTTTTTTACAACTTTTTTATTTTGGCTTTATATTATTTTCTTCCCATGACCAATCATCATCACATTGATTTAGTTACTTGCACCAATGGAATTTGTACCACCAAAACATACTATCTTCATCATTAAATTAATCAAGAAAATGTAGATTTTTTTAATATAACTTTGGATTAGACTAGTTTACACGTATCTTGACTTAAACTAATTTCACAAGATACATGTTACATCGTATTAGTAACAGATATCAAGTAATTTTGTTCATCAAAACTAAAAAAAATAAAAAGAAATTATATTTTTTCTGTACAGAAATCTCAAATAAAGCCTTCAACATTAGTATTGCCTTTAATTAGATCTCTCGTGGGACATCAATGTAATATGCCTCCAAAATTTTAATATTTTATATTGTTGTCCATATACTTTGCTATCTTTCATCAATATCATCAAATCAAACATATTATCATCTTATTCATCTCTTGGATAAGAACAAATCATGTTCATAATTCTTTTCTTATATACCTCCCTTGTGTGAGGGGCCGCAGGGCCGTCTTAACCACTAGGCCACTAAAGTCATCGCTTGGGACCCCATATTTTTAGGGGTCCCCAATTTTAAAAAAAATACTTATACATATTACTTAAAATTATATGTATTTTTAAAATTAAAAAAAAAACATGTGAGAAGTATAAAAAAACAAAATAACCGTTAGTTTTCCCCACTTTTCTAAGGGAATGAAACATTTTTTGAAAATAAATTCCTTAAGTGGGAAATTGTGTTTCTTTATTTATCTCCTAAAAATTTGACCTATATTATTATTTACCTTATACTCATCTTTTTTATTCTCTATTTTATTATTTTTATTCTCAATATTGAACTCTCTCCTAAAAAAATGGTTTACTGTTGCTTACAAGTTAAAAAAAAACAAAATTTGCTTTTGAGTGTCTTCTTCAAAATCTTAAGAAGTGCAACAAGCAATCATTATATTGAAGGAACACAACACTATTTCAATATTGTTATATCAACTTATCAAATTCGTGTGCCAGGTTTTATTATTCTAACTTTATTTTATAATTTTTCTTGAACTTTTATTACTGTTGATATTCTTAGTTAGTAAGTATATATATTCTCGTTTTAGTTATTATTAAGAGAAATAATACAAGTAGAAGATAATGGTTTAGTGGAAATACTCAATCAAATAAAAAGACTTGATTCTTTTCCTAATGCATATATTTCTTATAGAATAATGTTAACAATTCTTGTAACTATAGGCTCGGCTGAAAGAAGGTTTTTGAAACTAAAATTGATAAAATCTTATCTAAGATCAACAATGTGAGATTGAATGCATTAGTTATATTATTAATTGAAAAGGAATTACTAAAACAAATCGATTACAAAACAGTAATTAATGACTTCACATCTAAAAATGCTAGAAAAATAGATTTTAGATAAATATATACATGACTATTTTTTTTTTGAAAAAAAAAAGAATTAAAAAAAATATTTGGGCCCCTCTTTAAGGTTTGGCTTTAGGCCCCCAATCTTGTTGAGTCGACCTTGGGAGGGGGGTTGGGGGGGGTCCCAAACATGTTTTTTTTTTTTTTGGTGATAGTATAAACTAAAAGGCTAGACAATGGATAACCAACTAGCCATATCCTAATATCCTATGCCACCACTTTTTTTTTGCTTCTTTTTTTCCATTAATACCATTGAATTAAGTTTCATTTTTCACTCCCTCATATATATCTCATGTTGAAGCTCCACCCTAGACCAAATTAAAACTCGATAAGGAAGGAGAGGTTGTTCTAATTCCAGAATCATAACGATCATATTTTTCTCTACTTAATTAATATTTTCATGGCTAAACGTCCCCTCATGCATATGACTCCAACACAAAGCCCAATCATGAGCCTAGATCCTTTTAAAACCCCTTTTCTTGATCATGATCAAGTCTATAATAACAATGGAAGTACACTAAACTTGAACATGACATTGATCATTGCTGCCCTAATATGTGCTTTAGTTTGTGCTCTTGGCTTAAACTCCATGTTACATTGTGTGTTTCAATGCACTCAAAGGACTATCTCTGAGCCAGTTGAATGGGTAGCTTCAAAGAGAGTCAACTCTGGACTTAAGAAGAAAGATATGATTGCTTTGCCAACATCTACTTATAATAATAATGCAATTTCAAGCACAACATCTTCATCATCATCGTCATCGTCGTCATCGTGTGCTATTTGCTTGTTGGATTTCATGGATGGAGAAAGAATTAGGGTTCTTCCTCAATGTACACATTCTTTCCATGTGGTTTGTGTTGATGAATGGCTACTCTCACATTCTTCTTGCCCTACTTGTAGGCTTCTTCTCAAGTCTAGTAATTGTTTGGGAATTTTCACATCTCTAGTTTAAAATAAAAATGTCTTATGATAACTATTAGAGTTGTTTTTTTTTTTAAAAAAAAAACATTTTCATCTAAGAGATGAAGTGTTGATGTTTGATTTTGCTTTTATGATAATTGTGTGCTAGCTAGACACTATGTCATTGTAACAAAAAGTTGTTACAATTAGTTCTTGGTAAATTCTACCATAGTAGGAGAGAACTTCGAATATATTCATGTTATATGTTGATGAGGCGGGGTATTAAAGATGATTAATTTTCGATTTAGATGTCAGCTTCAGATTTGGAGCGTATTTGATCTTTAAGTTTGAATAAAAGAAAGGGTCAATTGAGGATCAAACATAACATTTTAAGAATACAAGATATATGTATATAATCTAGGAAAAATTACAGAAATCCCACCTTTTAGTTTATTTATTACCATTATCCCCTATAAGTTTTACAAATCTCAAAAATCCCTCATTTTCGCGCATCAGATTAGTGTATCATCGCTTATATTATTGTATCTCGCGCATCAGATTAATGTATCAGCTTATATTATTGTATCCGCTTGAGGGATTTCTGTAATTATAAACTTTTAAGGGATAAATTGTAATTTTGCCTTAAAAGTATGTGATTTCTATAATTTGCCCAATAATCTATCATAATTGCCCTAATTCTTTTTCAAAAGTTTAGCAATGAAATGTAACTTTAATTACAATAATTGAGAGTTATTTTTATGATAGATGAAACAACATGCCACTAATACTGAAAAGAAAGAAGACCACATGAAACATGATCAACTTTTTTATGCCCTCATTTTTTCAACTTTTGGACAATTTCCACTTAAAAGTTTTTCAAATAAATGGACTCAATTTGAAGTATTACTTTTGGTACTTTATTAGACTAATTGTCTTATGAGTTTATTTTCATTAATTTAATCCAAATTAAAGAATCTTAGGTGTAGCAAGAAAATACAAAATATTGAAACGACGTCTTTCCACCACAAATTAAAGGTACTCTTTATTGGGATTATCCTCCAAGATATTCTTTCTTGTCGTATCACAAAAATTATTTGGGAACTGATACTCCAATCAGTTCATTTCACGCTCTCTATCCGTCTCATTTCAACTATCGTTTTTATTCATTACACATCTATTAAGAAATTATTATAAATACAACGTACAATACTTTACTAAGTTATCCTTTGGTTCCTTTTAAGTATTACTTTTTCTAATTTTTCGAATTCAATTTATATGACTTATTTTTCTTTTTCATCACTTTAAAAAAGAATGACACATTTTTGGAAATCATAGTACTCTAGCTTAGTTGGTTGACTATCTAAACTCTCACCTTATTAGTGAAGGTTCGATTTTCCATATTGTAATCCCCTTCCTCCATCTCCAATTATTTTTATATTTAGTAACAATTTAACTTTAAAATACTCATTTTATCCATAATGAAATAATTTTATAATCACACAAACATCTATGACTTAGTTAGGCCACAAATTTAATAAGTCTTTCATTCTTTTTTAAAAATTTGTGTCAAGTCAAACTACATTATATATAAATTAGGACGAAATATGATGTTAAAGCCTAAGTGTATAAAAACCACAAAACTAGAAAACCTAATTAAAAAAAATTCTTACCAAAAGGGTACGGATATCTAGAAAACCTAATAGTAGTATTTGACAAAACTTGCAATCCAACTTTGGGTTGGATATTTTTCTGTTCTCACAAAGTGAAGCCCACAGTTTAGTGTATTCTCACTTTTTTTTGCTTTTTTTTTATTTCAATTTCATATAAAGTGATTAAATTTCCTTTTCCATATGTCCCTTTTTCCCACTATTTGTCTTCTCTCTTTGTTTATGTTGTCAACTCACACACATATTGTGTGGTTAAACATACATATCTTATTATAATGTAGACTCTCCTTCACCACCAGCGAAATCATAATTTTTACTAAGGCAATTTAAAATATAGAAAGATAAACACATGGGGAAGTTTTAGCTCGAATTTGAGGAGTTTCATGCCTTATTAATCAAATTAGACATTACTAGTAGCTAGGTACATTTAGTATAGCTGAACCTGTACAACATGACAAGCCCATGAAGAAAAATGAGTAGAAGATGTTCAAGTTTTGAAATTAGAATTAGTGATATCGACTTGGTCAAATGTGATAAAATAAAAAGTCGACCTAATTAGAGTAATTAAAAACTTTGGGGTACATATTAAGATTTTGAATTCTTATGAAAAGTTTAAAATGCTGACTGGGAATCATTTTTGGTTCATCAAGAGGAAAATTGTAAGAGCAGTCATAAAACACCAATCAATCTTCTGCCTCCAGATATATCAGTATCAGTTTTTGCTCATTTGCCAAATTTAGTAATCAATTAAAACAGCAATGTCTTCAAATTACTGGTTTTTTCTCCCAAAGCAAATTGACTATGACTATAAAATATTTGGTGTAATAAACCATGTATCAGTAAGACAAACAGATCTACATATCCATTTTGCTAACAGTAAGAGCAGCCAGCTCTCCCACTCCAAATTTGCAGATATAAACCAAGACCTTGCTGTCTAGAGTGTCTCTCATCCAAGTGCTCGGGATGATGGTCTCATATGGCGGTGATGAAAACATTTTATCTGTGTTACTCTGCAATGAACTCTATTTCCTGCACACATATCATCCCAGAAACAATTAGCAAGAAATGTTTTGATGCCCAGTATGTTTCTTTTGAAACAGTAAACAAAATGGCACAAGGACAAGTAGGTCGATACATGCAGAGAAAAGATGAGTTCCGTTACTTGAAACCTAAAGCAGAGGAAGTTGATGCATTGTTATCATTACTCAGTTTGTTTCTTTTGTAAAAAATGAAAAGTAATGATAACAATGCATCAACTTCCTCTGCTTTAGGTTTCAAGTAAAGAGATTACTCCGCAATTGTCACATGGTTTACACACACTTCAAGACAACATGCAATACTTTTAATTTCAAATAATAAGCAAAGCCCAAACCAGAAAGCCTGGCTTAATTTCAAACAACAAGCAATCTTTACTAACCTGCTACTCTTTTTTGAAGGAACAACTAGTCCCCTTTTCTCAAGGCTTTTAAACCGATCTCTTGCAAGGGTGCAACATCCCTGTTCGAAACAGAAGACAAACCACATAAGAGAAAAACCTTGAAAATAGAAATAAATGTGACAACAGCCAATTTAGAGAAAATTGAAATCAGGAATGCAACCTTTAATTTACGGAGGGAACCAGTAATCTCTTCAGACAGTAAAACCTGAGCAGGAGCAGGCACAAATCTGAAATGACAGAGGTCATTAATCTTTTTGTCAACATCGAAGTTATAGCAGGAATAAAGCAAAACCACAAGAAAATGAGTCTCATTGCTCAGTTCATGCAATCATCATTCTTTCAAACCCCAAGCTCCCAGTTGAAACATTTTTAAGAGTTACAACCATAAGAATTCCTTTGAAATCTGATGTTCTATAAAAACACTTTTTCACAGCAAATCAATTGTTGAAATTTTTTTACTTCAAAATGAAACAGCACATACTTGCGCTTTCCCAAGCGTGGTGGACAAGATTTTAGTTTTTCTTTTATAGCAGTAACACGACGTAGATGTCGTTTCTGTTTTTCTCCTTCCTCTCTCTCTATTTCTTGAATTATATCCGGTAAGCTGCAGGCACAAGAACATATCAGAATCTATACAAAAGGCAAATTCTATTTAACTGGAATATGATTAGCCTGATAATCCAAATATTAGCGAACCTATCAATCTCTTTGGAGAGTTGTGCTGCTTTTGTTGCTTCAGCTTCTGCTTTCAACTGTTCTTTGCGTCTAGCCCGTCGATTCTTATCAACTTGTGTCAGCATTTTGGGCTTTTGCGACCTGCATAAAGTTTAAAAAATGATGTATAATAACATTTAGTGTTAAATGAAAGATCTGAGAACTAGCAATAATGCACTCAACGTAACATGGATTGCCAACGAAGCTGAAGATAGCGCACTGCAAACTTTCAGAACACATAACTGACTTACAAAAAAGAAAATGTTGAACACTGGTTCACTCTACAACTGATCATCATTAGGACATTTGGATCATGACCACCAAAGGAAACAGATATGACGTCGGATATCACACTTACTGGGGACTTAGCTCACAATCAACTCAGCTAGATTAAGGATCAAACCTCTTTACATTTAAAAATATGATTTCAGATGTAGTTGACTTAAACTGAAGTCTGAACATATCCAAGCAACCAAATATTAGTGATATACAATGTACTCATTCAGCATCTTTAACCAAATATAAAGGATGTTCCTTGCACCCAAGGGTGTGGCCTAGCGTCAATGAAGTGGTTGGGAATCCTGAGGTCTCAGGTTTAAAACTCAGTGGAGACAAAAAACACTAGGTGATTCTTCCCATCTGTCCTAGCCTTGGTGGAAGAAAATAAGAACTACTACTAATGCTGGAAATAAGAGCTTCTTCCCCACCAGCAGCAAAAAGTAAACAAACAGAACAGGGCAAAACTGGATTCAAATAAAGAAGGATGAAGGAAGCATGGGGTCTTAGACCATCAGTGGTAGCGGTACATATATCGCCTTTGACCTCATAAACATCCATCAGCTTAGGACTATGTGAAAACTATTAAACATGCAAAGCCACATAAAATGAGATTGTGTTTCTAGTGAGCATGAATGAAAAGGAATTGGAAGTAGAATGCAACAATTATGAAAACAAAAACGAGGACAAGGCAACTCATGTTAGCCTTGTAAAGTTATAGAAAAAATTTAGGACTTCAGGCTAATTGGGTATAACCAGTGTCCAGAGAATGAAATGTCTGGACACTGGTTAAAAAATTTAGGCAACTCATGTAGATTTAACACATTGAACTGTCACATAATTAATTTCTCTGAAGCCTAAAGCCTAAAGATTGTCAAAGAAGCCTCTATTCACTATACAAATATGAATAGACACAGGTGAGTAAATTTTAAGTAAAAGTATAATTTTAAGTACTCCAGAATACTAAGCTAGCAAGGAATAGAACATGTTTCAACCGCTAATACTATCATGACAGACGAGCAATATAGAAGCTTACCTTTTATCCAAATCTGTTTTTCCGTCTTCCACTAGATTTTCATTCTCCGTGTCACTCCCACTGTCCGCTTCAAGGAAATACATCTGAGGCAAATGAATCTTCAGTGTATGCTTTACCGAGTATAAGAAAACATTGCCCA